ATGTAATTTAATTTTAAACTTCTATGCAGGATTTGATTACATTTGGATGAAATATATCATAGTGGCATAGAATCTATGGATAGTGTAGGAAAGGTCAGGATTAGAGGATGGGTATGGTAGTTTTAAGTATTCTTGATTATGAGGCTCAAATGTCTAAAATCTAGGAAGGAGGTTCTGACTGATGTATTACCCTGTTGTCCTCAGATCTCTGTGCGGAAAGTCAGGGTGCTCCCTGCCATCTTCTTCTGGTAGTCCTTGTCAAATTCTTCATTCTGAGCCACCGTGAAATAGTTCTTCCAATCCCCAGGCATCCCTGAAACAAGTCAAAGTCTCAGAGGTTGCCACAGGAGTACAGGGAGGAGGGAGCATGCATCCTTGGAGCCAGCACAAGAACGGGGGGGAAAAAAAAAGAAGTTTGCCTCTGAAAATTATGCAGTAGTGTCATTGATAGGAATGAATAATGGGGCATGAAACATTACTGGAAAATCTAAGCAGATCATGGGTACTACAGAGTCCAACCTGGTATTTAAGAATATAAATTTACATACCTTTCCTCATAAAAGGGGAGACAGATTGGTTCATGAGGACAGTAGGCACAGTGGTGTAGTTGGCCATTGAGTTTTGCTTCATTACATCGAAGGAGGTGTGATAGATGATTTTATTCAGGACTTCTTCGGGCATTTCTTTCTCTAGGAACTTCAATATCTTCTGAATTTCCCGCTTTGGGTCTTACATGTAGAAGAGTCACACAAAGCAAATAAATTTGGGTTTTCTATGAGGGATGACATTCTGCTTGGACAAACGGTATTCGGGAGGAATGAGTTAAGGGATCAGTTCAAATATATTCAACAACTATCCCTTAGGTGATGACTATGTGCAAGTCACTGTACCATCTCAGGTGCTGCCATGACACAAAGATGAGAGCCGTTCTTGCCATCAGGAGGCTCACCCTGCAATAGGGGGATAAATGTAGACATAACTAACTGGGCAAAACGTTGCCCAGAAAACATGCTGCTCGCACACAGACAGTAATATGAGATTTGTTGAAAGGAACAATTATGTCTCCTGGTAGAGATTAGGAAGGTTGTATAAAGCAAGGGAAATGTTGCAGGTGAAGCACAGTATGACATACTCTAGTATTTGAGCTATAGAAGATGGCAAAAGAGCCTGTGAGTTTAATAGAAGGTTAGTAAGGGGATGAATACAAGGGATCTCAAGTTGACCCAGAAATGTAAACTCTTGTGCACTGGTTCTTTCTTTTCTTTTCTTTTTTTTTTTTTTAATAATTTTTTTATTGTTATGTTAACCACCATACATTACATCATTAGTTTTTGATGCAGTGTTCCATGATTCATTGTTTGTGCATAACACCCCGTGCTCCACGCAGAATGTGCCCTCTTTAATACCCATCACCAGGCTAACCCATCCCCCCAACCCCCTCCCCTCTAGAACCCTCAGTTTGTTTTTCAGAGTCCATCGTCTCTAATGGTTCGTCTCCCCCTCCGACTTACTCCCCTTCATTCTTCCCCTCCTGCTATCTTCTTCTTCTTCTTCTTTTTTTTCTTAACATATATTGCATTATTTGTTTCAGAAGTACAGATCCGTGATTCATCAGTCTTGTACAATTCACAGTGCTCCCCATAGCGCATACCCTCCCCGATGTCTATCACCCAGCCACCCAATCCCTCCCACCCCCCACCACTCCAGCAACCCTCAGTTTGTTTCCTGAGATTAAGAATTCCTCATATCAGTGAGGTCATATGATACATGTCTTTCTCTGACTGACTTATTTCACTCAGCATAACACCCTCCAGTTCCATCCACGTCGTTGCAAATGGCAAGATCTCCTTCCTTTTGATGGCTGCATAATATTCCATTGTGTATATATACCACATCTTCTTTATCCATTCATCTGTCGATGGACATCTTGGCTCTTTCCACAGTTTGGCTATTGTGGACATTTCTGCTATAAACATTGGGGTGCACGTACCCCTTCGGATCCCTACATTTGTATCTTTGGGGTAAATACCCAGTATGCACTGGTTCTTTCTGATCAAAGAGTTGCAGAAAAGGAGCTATAGCTTCTTTTTTTAAAAAAAAAAAAGATTTGCTTATTCATTTGAGAGAGAGAGAGGGCAGGGGGAAAGGCAGAGGGGGAGAATCCTCAAGCAGATGACCCGCTGAGCGCGGAGCTGGACACAGGGCTCATTCCCATGACCCATGAGATCCTGACCTGAGCTGAAATCAAGAGTTGGACACTCAATTGACTGAGGCACCCAGGTGCCCCAGGGAGCTATAGTTTTTGATTGGATTTCTCAGCACTGGCATAATAAGTAGTTTGTAATTCTAGGATACTAATCCCTGGGGTCATGAGAGTGAATTTGTCATGCTTCTCATACACAGTGACTTGAAAAGGAGAAATCCGTTCTCTGTCACAATATGTGGGACCAATCCTGCCAACGTTTATATGGATTAAACTTCATTTGTGATGTGGGTCTGGGGTGTGGAACAGGGAGAAGGAAACTCTCCCTGAGCATTCACTGAACACAACTAGGCACTTTACAAATGTGATCTAATAAATCCTTATAATAATTTCATGAGATACAAAATGAGATGATACCCATTCTGTAGGTGAAGACACATGGTTCATAAGTGTCAGGATTAATTCAACCATAAAGGCATGTGATATTTCCTGAGGAGGAAGGATCTTCTGGAAATTGTGAACTGAAGCAAATAAAATTGAGAAGAGCAGAAAAGTAGTTAGAACTTCTGAGGATAAAACTGAGTTGGGAAAAGTGTCATGGAGAGAAAGGACTTGCACGAAGGCTCTTCTGTGGGCAAGCCCAAATGCCAGGGTCCCAAATGTGGTTTGCTGCACTAGAGAACATGGTGGGTCTAATGGAGATTGCACTGCCTTTTACCTCTTTCATGTCCTCATAGAAGAGGTAGAGAATAGGGTGCTGGTCTTTCGCATCCCACCATCCCTTCACATGGTCGTACCAGGAACCCCACAGCACTGGAGGGAACAAGAGAGAAGGGGGGGCATCAATATCAACTTGAAACTTACAAAATGAGAATGGTTGTGTCAAATAAAAGGGACAAAGACAAAGAAGACAAAGACCCTGGCCAGAATTCTTATTTGCAGAAGACAGGGACTTTTTAATATTTAAGGAGATGGTAAAAAGTATTCTGGATTCCTTGGTTTATATTTTTGCTCTTGAATTTACTACCACATGAGTTACTGTGTAGTGGCCAGAGATCATAATCTTTCCTTCCCCCAGCATCACTGCATGGTGTCTAGATTAGTGTTATGCAACAGATCCTGTCTCTTAGTGGGCTGATTTTCATTCTGAAAAATCTATAATTACCAAATATTTGGGCACCTTTGCTCTCTCTCTCATGGTGACTGGGAGGAGGAGAGGTGCACTGGGTGTCTTTTGTTGGCCCTGCCAAATCCATTCTGTACCTTCCTCCACCCTGCAAGATTGACCTCTATGGACTGTGTCAAAGGGCTCCTTTGTGCTCAGGCTTCCACCTGGGATTTGCCAGCAAAAGGCACTGAAAGGCTTTTGGAGGCAGGAGGAGAGTGAGAAGGGTGTGGTTTATTTCCCTGATGCCCTTCCTGTTGGCTCACTGTGGTGGACTCTTTCCCCTGTTAAGGGGCCTTGTCCTTTTTCCAGGAGGCAATAGCTCCCTGCTGGTGTTCACCCCAAAACACTGCACTATCACCTGTTGGTTTCTTTAAACTCTGCCTGTAGCTTTCTAAATAGTCTCTTAGCTAAACTATCCCCAAATGACCCAGTTTCAATGTGCCATCCACATCCTCCCATGACCTTGGTGACCACAATCATTCAATGAAAAACCTTCCTTTCTGATGTCAATAGTGAACAAGGAAATGTGAAGAATGAATGAGGAAACATGAACCCATAATTTCCTTTTACTCACCTTTTCCAGCTTTGAATGCCTCAATATACTCCTCCCATGTACCAGGGTCAGGCATCATTTTACTCATTCTTGAGAAATGGTAGTAGGACACCAGAGAGTCCTTTGGATTTCTAGCCACATAGATAATCTGAAATCAACCAGCAAGGGAATTGAGACAGACAGCAAACAAAACAGAGAAATATTATTGCTCAGTGCAGAGGACCATGTTATTAGAATCTTAGACTATTCTATTCGAGTAACTGAACGTGCACGCATTTTCTGTAAGCAGGATGACCACATCTTCCAGTATGCCCAGACAGAGTTCCAGTGTATATCTGTGGTCTTAGATAATGATTAGGAGCATGCACGTATGCTCCTCTCTCTCAAGAGTATCCTGGTTTGCAGGATAAATACTACAGTCACCCTAACTATGATATTTCTGAAGACTAATGAGGCCACTGTGGTATTTTCCAGTGTGTTTGAAAGGTAGGTCCTCGTTGGCTTGCACTAAGCAAGAACTCTAACTAGGTTATTGCACAGGGGGTAGCTAAAGCCCTCAGTTGTCTAGTCTAGTCTCCTCTGTACATGATGAGCTGCAGCCTTACAGATGAATGATCACTCTTAACTTTTCATTTGTGGTAAGATTGCAGGACCTTTGAGGGCAGTGCTAAGTCTCCCTTTGGAACTGCTTGTGATGATTCTTCTCATTGGAAAAACAAGGTTGTGGTGTGGCTGGGGAGAGCTGACCTCTTGGCTTCTTGTCCTGTGGTTCCATGCCCACCTGGCTTCTGTCTGCATTCTCAGCGGAGCCGGGGAGGAGGAGCACATTAATGGTTTCTCAAGCATTTTCCCATGTCTCATTTACTGAACAGAATTCCTGTGTCTAACAGAACCACTCACCCAGTGACATTTCCCTCTCAGACAATTGGCCCAGGCTCTTGCTTTCTCTACTGCCTTTCCATAGACTGCTGCTTTATAGGAACATGGACCAGGCCTATTTCTCTGCCTCTTTTTGTGCTGCTCAATTTTTCTCTGATATTTATGAGAGCAGGTAGGGAACCAAAAACTGTGACACAGCTGCACCATCTTGTCATAATGTAAATGTCTTTCTTTTCTTTCTCTCTCTCTCTCTTTTTCTTTTTTTTTTCTTTTTTTTTGGTTTTATTTATTTGAGATAGAGAGAGGGAGAGCAGAAGCAGGGGGAGGAAGAGGCAGAGGGAGAAGCAGCCTACCTGCTGATCAGGGAGCCGGATGTGGGGCTTGATCTCAGGACCTGAGATCATGACCTGAACTGAAGGTAGACACTTAACCGACTGAGCCTCCCAGGTGCCCCTGTAAATGTATTTCTTAATGCTTGTGTTGGTGATTGCCTTCCTGTAAGCCTGAGTAATTGTGAAAGGGCAGTCTGGGCTAGGCAGGGAACATATTCAGTGTGCTTGTGGCGAGAGTCAGATGACCGGGTGTGACCTAATGTCCAATACATTTTCTGCTGATCCAGCTGTGTGAGTGCCCTGTGGTGGCTGTAACAAATTCCCACAGATGTAGTGCCTGAAAACAATAAGAAAATTGTTCTTTTATGGTTCTGGAGGCTAGATTTCACTAGGCTCAGGTCAAGCTGTTGGCAGGGCTGGTCCCTTTGGTGATGTTGGGGGAGAATCCCTTCCCTTGCTGTTGCTAGCATCTCAAGGCCACCTGCATTCCTCGGCTCTTGACCCAATCCCTGGCTTCACTTATCACATCTCCTACTTCTTCCTCTGATCTTCTTGCCTCCCTCTTATAAGGATCCTTGTGATGATATTTAGGGTCCACCTAGATAATCCAGGATAATCTTCCATCTCAAGATCCCCAACTTAATCACATCTGCAAAGCCCATTTTACTATATAAGGTAGCATTCAGTTTTTGGTTATTAGGACAGGGATATCTTCAGGGGATGATTATTTAGCTTATCACTGCATCATAAAATGCAAATCTTGGGCTAAGCTCTTTAAGGTCCTTTCCTACTCAAATAATCCACAATTTTGAGCAGATAAAGGGAGGTGCTGTCGTTGAGATTTTTACATTTTACAAGGCCTGATTTTACAAAAAGAAGGTGCTAGTATGATGACTAACAAGATGTTATTTTGTCTTCTGACATTGAGTCTACAATAGCATTTGGAAATAATATTGCTTCTTGAGCAGCAACAGTCACATATGAGTGAAGTTATTTATCTGTGGGTATAAAGCAGGAAGTTTTCAAAAATGAAGGTGACCTAGATGTAATCCCAGGGAAGCAGATCAGGAATGGGATAGCATTTTGATATATGGAATCCTATTCAACTGTACTGTCCCTTATTTGGAGATGGCCAAGATGAAGAGCTGATGACTCAGAGAAGCCCAGAAAAACGAGAGTAAAAAACAATTACTTGCACTGTGTATCTGAGCACTGCACGGAGGAGAGAGTGTTTTGGCTAACAGACTTGACCCCTATGGTTTCCTTGGTAAGGGTTCAGTCTGGGTTTCTAAAGCAGCTTGCTCACAGAGAGAAGACATGTTGGTCTAGCTGATATAAGCATTTGATTCTGCTGGATGGCTACACTTTTCATGGCAAATTTGTAAGTCAACATTTGACTTTAAGGCTCACTGATTAAGCATACATCAAAAAGAGACACCGGTATATTTGATGTACATTGCACATTGAACCTGAATTTGGAAGAGTCAAAATAAATGAAAAATTTTGGAAATGGAGGACATAGAGGTGTAATAGTTCCTGGGTGCTTGCTCCATGAAATATGCTCTAAGGGTGGCCAATGTAGTATCATCCTCCTTTGCCTTGCTCTACCTTTCTCTCCACAGGTTTTCCCTAAATAAGTTCCTTTCATGTCTTCCTTGGCCTTGGCTTTTGTTTCTTAGATGATTTGAACTAAGATAATAGCCTTCTTCAGGAAATATGTGCTTTGTTTCACCAATTGCTCTCCTTGGCTATGGCTTAATTGGCAACCAACCAGAATGATTTTGTCTGAAAACTTCCTAGTATGTACCCAGAAATAATATTTTGAAGGAAAGCTGGATACAGCATGGAGTATGTGGGAATGTGGGAGTAATGCCACCATCTGCCCTATACCTCCATTGATTATTTACTTTTCAATATCTTTGATTTTTTCTATTTAGATGGATACATTATCTACCCATACTGACCAAAACTGGGTTTGAAAAGTTGGCTTTTCCTACCTTTGAATTTTCTTTCCAGAAGGAAGGTGGCAGCAACTGAACAGGCAGGTGAGTCTTCATAGTTCTAGGAGAAGGCATTTTGCTGGCCAGATCCAGACCTGGGAAAGAAGGCTACACCATTTAGCGGAACACTTCTCATCAGCTCCATGAATTCAATATTATTGTTTTGTCAAATATCTGAAACGAGGTTTACCAAATAGCTGGCTCTGCCTAAAATTATGGTTTTTACATTTCTAAATGATTCCCTTCTAATGACACTTTTACCATCCATTCAGGTAAAGGAAAGCACTAATGAGATACTGGAAACCACTGAGGCAACATTACTCTCCTTATTTGCTGGGTATTGGTTATACTTGTGTGGGAAGATGAAGATGTTTTGGGAGGTGAGGTTGGTGCAACTATGTCCCCAACAAGCACTTGAATATTTTGTCCTTTGGGGTGTTCTATTACTGCAATGGGGAGTAGATTAAGGCAGCTGGAGAAGAGCTGGCTTCCCTCTTAAGGCAGGTGGGTTATTGGCCAACTCTACAAGGCTAGCAGTTCCATGTAAATAGCTTCATGCTTTCTTTTAACCTTCACTTTCCAGGCCAAGAACTGCAACAGCCACCAAACACCAGCACTGTGCTCTGTGCTGGGATGTATTTTCAGATGAAAATTTGAGCCTTACTGTGGTCAAGTAATTTCTCCAAGTTAGTAAATGTGACAGCCACGACTGGAAATCAGTTAGTCTGTGGGTGTGGAAAGCCGTAGAGGGGGAGGCCTAAGAGACTTTGTGGAAAGCAGCAGACAGACAAGGAACAACTAGATGAATCTCAGATAAAATCCTCCTTGGAAACAGAATGTCCAATGCTGAGTGTTAAAATACCAAGTACAGGGGGCACCTGGGTGGCTCAGTCAGTGAAGCATCTGCCTTCGGCTCAGCTCTGATTCCAGGGTCCTGGGATTGAGCCCTATGTTGACCTCCCTGCTCAATGGGGTGTCTGGTTCTCCCTCTCCCTTTGCCCCTCTGCCTCCCCTTGCTTGTGCTCTCTCTCTCTCAAATAAATAAATAAAATCTTAAAAACAAACAAACAAACAAACAAACAACCAAATACAGACTGGGATTTGGCCACATGCAGCATGAAACTCAGGGGAGGGGGCTTGAAATTGCAGAGTAGCAGCCTTGGTTGGAGAAGCACAGCTTCTGGTGGAGAATCAGATATATAGAGAAGGGGAGGCACCCCCTGGAGACCTGGCAGTGATGGGAAAGAAGGAAGTAAGAGGAAGAAAATTAAAAATCCTGCAGAAACAAAAGAAATAGCCTACGAATTCCTCACCACCAACCACCAAGACCTAGGAGTAGTAAACCTCTCTATTTCAATTCCCTATAGTTTTTTCTTAAACTGAGGCTCACCAGCCTACCTGGGGCTCTACTAACAAATGTTAATTTAACAAAGTCACAATTGGCTTCACAATCGGGATGGATTGAGTCAGTTTGCCTTTGATAATGAGGAATGTATTTTAGCTGCAAATGGCTTTCTCAGGTGGGTAATCCATTGGGGAGGAGTCCAACTGCATGCTGTCTATTTAGAAGTCTGCCCCAAGTTCCCATCCCAAAAGTGAAAGCTCCAAAAAAAGCAACCAGAATTCTCTCAAACTTTAAGGGTATTGCTAATTGCAGCTGGTTTGAGGGGCTATAGATGCGTTTTCCATTTATTAATGTCCAGGGGGTACCTGCAGTGGGTGTTAGACTTTGAGTGTGATTCTCAGCTTTTAGCACAGACCCAGCTACTGACTGTTAGGGACAACTGGCTAAGATTTTGGCAAGGTCCTATTGCCTTTAGTTAACAGAGGGGAACATGTGAGTTGCACAAGTTGCCCAAGTGTGGGACCAGAGAAAGGTGCATTGCCCCTAAGAGGAGAGGGAGACTCTCCTGACCTGATTGGCTTTGCTTGTGGGAGGCACTAGGACTCTGAATTCTAACCTGGATGATAGGGATGCCCACACTGGGGAAGTCATGGCCCCTCAAAAAGGCAAGAGTGACTGGGGCCTGTGGTCCCTCTGTCACTGCATACCTTGTTGCTGTGGCACCTTGTCCCCTGACACTATGGGGTATCATGGGTCCCATTCCTGGTGTGTAGTGGCACAAAATCTAATGGCCTAATACAAATGACCTGAACACCTGCTGTCTGCACCAATGAAAATGTCCAAGGAAATTAGCAAGCTCCCCACGACATGTGAAACACTCATAAAAGTGGCGTGGGCACTGATCAGTGTCGAGGTGTACCAACATGCCAAGGCACTGATTCTATACTCTTGGGCCTAGGGGCTAGCCCTGATCCTGCCACCACTGGGCTAGTGGAGGATGACCCCAAACCCAGTGAGGTGGATTGGGACACCCTGGAGAGGGAAGCAGCTGGTACTGGCCACTGGGGACATCTGCCAGAGTGACAATTCACAGGGTCAAATCCGTGGGGGGTAATAGAGAATTAGAAACAGAAATTTGAAATTTTATATGCCTTAAGATTAAAAATATTTTAAAAGACTGTAGGGCAGGAGGGAGGAAAAGGGGCTGACTGGCTGTTGAGAGTGTTTAATACTGGCTCTGAGCTATTACGCAACCTATGGATGTGAGTCAACTAGCCGGTATTTACAAGAATCCCCAAATGCTTAACCTTTTATAAGACCCCCAAAGAGCCCTGGGTGTTATACACAACTAATGAATCGTTGAACACTACATCAAAAGCTAATGATGTACTATATGCTGGCTAATTGAACATAATAATAAAAAAAATTAAAAAAAAACCAAAAAATATTTAGCAAATACAAACAAACACACAAACAAACAAAAAATAAAAGACCCACCCCCAAAGCCTGAAAGTCAAATTCTGCAGAGACACAGGTGACACACACCACCTCCAACCCATGAGGGACCGTCCCAGGACTAATTCAACCAGAGTTAAAGCAAAAGCTGCAGCTGCGGATGATCTCAGTGTCATAATTGGGATTTCTAATCACAAGGGAGAATCCAAATCCAAAGACACAAGCCCTAAAGATATAGAGGGAAAATCCTGTCTTCTGCTTACTTGGATTTTTATGGCTTGGCAATGGCGCCTACCCTTCTATCATAGTTATTTTTTTTTTAATTTTTAAATTTTATTATGTTATGTTAGTCACCATACAATACATCATTAGTTCTTGATGTGGTGATCCACTGTTTTCATATAACACCCAGTGCTCCATGCAGTACATGCCCTCCTTAATACCCATCACCGGGCTAACCCATCCCCCTACCCCCCTCCCCTCTAAAACCCTGTTTGTTTCTCAGAGTCCATAGTCTTTCATGGTTCATCTCTCCCTCCGATTCCCCCCCTTCATTTTTCCCTTCCTTCTCCTAATGTCCTCCATGCTATTCCTTATGATCCACAAATAAGTGAAACCATATGATAATTGACTTTCTCTGCTTGACTTATTTCACTTAGCATAATCTCCTCCAGTCCCATCCATGTTGATGTAAAGGTTGGGTATTCCTCCTTTCTGCTGGCTGAGTAATATTCCATTGTATATATGGACCACATCTTTATCCATTTGTCTGTTGAAGGGCATCTCGGCTCTTTCCACAGTTTGGCTATTGTGGACATTGCTGCTATGAACATTGGGGTGCATATGGCCCTTCTTTTCACTACATCTGTCTCTTTGGGGTAAATACCCAGGAGTGCAATTGCTGGGTCATAGGGTAGCTCTATTTTTAATTTTTTGAGGAACCTCCACACTGTTTTCCAAAGTGGCTGTACCAACTTGCATTCCCACCAACAGTGTAAGAGGGTTCCCCTTTCTCCACAACCTCTCCAACATTTGCTGTTTCTTTCCCTGTCAATTTTTGCCATTCTAACTGGTGTAAGGTGGTATCTCAATGTGGTTTTGATTTGAATTTCCCTGGTGGATAATGATGATGAACATGTTTTCATGTGTCTGTTAGCCACTGGTATGTCTTCTTCAGAGAAGTCTCTTTTCATGTCTTCGGCCCATTTCTTGACTTGATTATTTGTTTTTTGGGTGTTGAGTTTGAGAAGTTCTTTATAGATCTTGGATACCAGCCCTTTATCTGTAGTGTCATT